TGCCTCTTTCTCCAGTGCCATCTGCCCTTATAGTCCACTATTCCTCCTCACAGACACAGTCACGTGAGCTTTCCAGAGATCCATTCCCACGCTGCTTAGAGTTGGAGTTATCTAATTCACCATCACCGCTTAACTCTAAAACAGTACCCCATATTTCAGTACTTCATCATCATGGCTGTATTAGTTTTCTATGACTGCCCTAAAAATTACCACAAATTCTGTGACTTTAAAGAATGAATTTATTAACTCGTAATTACGTAGGACAGAAGTTTTTAACACAGTCTCATTGGGCTTTAGGAGGCTCTAAGGGAAAAATCATTTCCTTGCCTTTTCCAGCTTCTAGAGGCCGCTCTCATTCCTTGCCAAGTGGCTCCACTGTCCATCTTCAAAATCAGTGATGGTGGCCGCGTCTTCACGTTGGATTATTCTGCCCTCTGCTTCCATCATCGCATCTCCTTCCCTGATTCTTTCTTCTCCTTCTCTTGTCCACCTTTCATTGCACTGGGCCCGCCTGGACAATTCAGGATAATCTTGTTTTAATATCAGTTGTTTAGCAACCATAATTCCATCTACAACTTTAATTTCTCTTCATTGTGGAAGCTAATATGTTTATAGGTTCTGGAGATTAGGACATCGACATATTTGGGGTCCATTATTCTGGCTACCACCATGACTATTTTAAAAGTTAGCAAAGCAATTTGATCACTAAAATGTACACTAATATGGAAGAGAAGCTTTTATTTATTGTTTAATCACTAACTTGTTGAATTGTAAATCATGGGAATGAAAGAAATAATGAGAACATTTGGGGTAGATGGTTCTTCCCAATATGTATTTCAGTGACCCACATTTTGGATGGCCGGTGCTCCCTCAGCTGCTGGCATGTCCCTTGGGCCTATTCCCCATCTGGATGAGGAGATCCAAGACTCTTACTAAATTCATTTGTTCTGAATTCCCTTGGCACATGTAACTATATGATAGATTAATTCATTAAAAACTCAGTCTCCATATCTCTGTAACTTAATAGCAAGGGGACCTGTAGGAAGTTATTTAATCTAAGGTTCAGTATGGTTCTCTTGTGGACATTAAATAAGAAGAAAATGTAAATCTCAATAAAATACGTGGCAATTAGTGAGCACTCAACTGTAGTGTAGTAGTAGTAGCGGCAGCAGTTGTCCTTTTGTAGTTGTTAAAATGTTAATGACGGATGTAATATGTAGTATCTTGTTAGGTGTCTCCTGAAGAAGCACGGTGGCCCCATTCATGGCTTTTGGTTCCATCCTGTGGACCCCCAAGGACTTTTAGGCACATCTCTAGAAAGCACGGCAGCTGGAGAGTACGATGACCCCCCTACATTCATATCAACCAGAGTAATTTGTTAAAATCTGTTTTGTATGTGGTGCTCTGAATTTATTGGAATAAAAATATCTCCAGCTTTAAAAGTAAAAAATTAAAAACCACCTGTCTCTGAAAGAAGTAACTCCATAATGATAGAAGAGTGACAGGTCTTGGGGGAATGTTTTAGAGAGGCTGTTTCTCCAAATCTGACCATATGGGAAGCTGCCTACTCTGTTCTACTCGGTATCAGACTGACTTTGTGGGAGAAGAAAGGGGCCTGATATCTGCTTCAGAGAAGGAATATTGGTGATTCCGGCCTGTCAGAGAGGCTTTGATGGCTTGTATGGCAACAAAAGCGCTCTTAACCGCCCTAAGTCATAACATAAAGGTTATCTATTCTTTGCCTTCATGAAGAAAAATAGAGTTATCTGGAATTGGGAAGAAGAAATGTTTTTTACATTTGAAAGGTTTCCAAACTGGTGTCCTTTATTTCATTTTAGGGAATAACTGTCTTTTCCATCCTCATTCGAAAATTACTTCCTTTGCAAACATCAGTTTTTTTCAATATGTAGAAGATTGTGCATGAATGATAGTGCTCAAAATAATCCTTGCCATTCTCACATAGCACATGCTCTTTTGTTATTTTTAGCATATTGTAGTTGACAAATGAATACTGATCACTGAATTCTCTTCACTCTTCCCCTTTCAGGTCCTTGAGGAAAAGCTACTTGATCAAACAACTGATAGTCACAAATTTGAAACCGTGCTTCTGAATCCCAGCACATATTAAAAAGAAAAGACAATACTGATAATTATACCTGTCAAGAAGCTGTGAACACGTGGTGTATAAATTCTTTACTAAGGCACCTTCTTTCTCTGGGGCTGAACCCCCACTGCTCAAGGCTCTTTACACACACAGACCTTCCATTCACTGCAGTGGGCATTCTCTGTGTGTCAACGGAGAGTTTTCCAGTCTGCAGACTGAAACAGTATAAGAATAAAGTCTATGACTTTCAGATAAATCACCAGGGCCAAGATTAAGTGAATCTTGGATCTATAGCTTTTCCAGAGATTACAAACACCTCATTAGGCTGTAGTTCAAACTGCATCAGTTCAATAATGTCACCACTTCAAAGAAACCTACTCATTGCCCCTCGCCCTGACTTGTTCCACATCCACGTTGCTGAGTTGTCCGAATTAGAAATTCCAGTTAAATGCAAATTTGACCTATATTCCCTTCTTGAAAAACAAGTTATTATACTATGTTTATACTCTATTCAGGTTCTCGAAGCAATTGGCTTTTTATTTTCTGTTTCCGTGAATTTTATTATGCATTAATGGAGTGGGGCAATTTTATAGCTCAACTTTTAGTTTGCTGGAAGCAAGGATAGAGAACTCTAGTACTGTATTTTTTTTTAATTTAAGTATCACTTATATCTATTACTATTAATTCTAACAGAATATAATGTATATTTATTCCACAAAATATATATTATCAGAGTGTATTTGTTACAGACTTAGGTTTTTCCTTACCAATGTTATGAATCTGGTAAGGGAATACTAGCAAAGGACCTAGCTTCATAAACCAGTCCTCCCATGATATTTATATATAACCCTGCTCTCAATATTTTTTTTAAGTTTTATATTTTTGATTGATAAACTCTGGAGAAATCTAAATCTTTTTATGTACACTGATGTGCTATTATAGAAATCTATTTAAAATTTAAAGCTTAGGGCTTTAAAAAACTAAATTATAATACTTGTGCATATATGTACAAATATGTATGTCATACAAAGTTTAGATCAGTTTTCCCAAATATAAACTGGATATTTTTGGCAATCAAAGGTCAAAGTATTATTCCTTTTTAAATTAGGCATATATAAACCATGATAGTAAAATTGTGAATGAAAATATGCTACTATTTCGAAAGGAAAAAGATATCGACTTCATTATGCATTTTCATGTAGGTAAAGAGACAATGAGATGTCATCTTTCAGAAAGTATCATTTACTGGAAAACGATCTGCTAGAGCCACCTATACAGATTATAACTTTTGACTTATGGAAAATTGAGCTGCCTAAGTCTGATTTTACTCTATGGGATGAATAGGAAGCAATAATTATTTGGGCACTTAAATACCTTACACACACAAGTGTACCTGAAAAAAGAATAAATGTCCAGTTGAAACATTTTAGATAGATCATTAAAACCGAGGCAAGTATTTGAATATCCCCTTTTCTCAAATGCAGAAGTTGATTCCCCAAGATACAATAAATTTCACATTTCAGATAATCCCCCAAATTAAAATTTCATAAAGCTCAGTTTAGGAATAGTTTTCTTGAAAACAAAATAAAACCAATCAGAATTACCCAGCACCCTTTAGTTTGCCCTGTCGGGTGGTCTTATTGTCAATGCCAAGTCTGCCTACTTTTCACAGCCCATCACCCAGCAGAATGCAAACAGCAAGAAAAGTAGAGGTTCACCAGTTTCAACTATGTTCTGCTGTAGTAACAGATTCCTATCCTCGAAAACATCATTTTTTTACTAGAGAGAACTGTGGGGGCGGGCAAGGGTGAGCACTCCGAATGTTATATAAAATAGGTTTACAAAAGAGAGAAGCATGACTAAAGGAATGAATGGAGACTACTTGAGTATTATTACTCAATTTGAAGAGATAGTTCTCGGTTTTTATAAGGAATATTTAATAAAACATATATTTTAGTTATCATTTAACGAAGAAGTATTAAAACTATTCAGGCGATGCCACAGATTCTCAGAAAGCGGAATTGTTGCACCCTTGTCATGAGAAAATGGTCATTTCAACACATTTTAATACATTGTATAAATTTGGAACTTAAGGTGAGTATGTTTTATTTAGCCATATTTGGTTAATGTGAAATTTTCATATGTTTTCACATCAATATAAATACTGTCATAGAATTACAGAACACTTATCAAATGAGCAGATACCTTACACTTGTGTTTTTTAGAAGTCTTTGTATTTTATGCTTCATTTGCATAATGTTAAGTGCTAATAAATGTATGTTAGGTCATTTATCACAGTGAAGGGGCAATTCATCACACCTAAGACATCTAGGGGCCGATTACATGTCACAGTGGTCCTATATACATGTGACCAGTTAAGTGGTCAGTTTTCTTCAGTAAAATCTAGTTGTTGAAATGTAAACCTTCCCCTAAAGTTTTAATCACGAGTAACCCCTAACACTTAGAGAG